TTCTTTCTTGTCCTTTTGGGTTTTCCCCAGAGAACACCTAATATGTATTTCTACTGCCTATTGTATACACCAGCTGTATTTTTGCTGCCAGATGTTGTACCAGAAATGTCAGCTGCTGCTTGAGGCAGGGAGTGAATGCAATTAGAGGTGCCCTGGTGACAGCTTGACACTTCTGGTGGCAAAGTTTAAATTTTTAATCAGGCATGTAACACAAAAACCCACACAGATTGGATTCTTCTGGAAACTGGACCACCACTACATTGACATCTTTTATCAGGGAAATGCAAAGATCAATGTGTTGGCAGAAGTCCAAATGGATTGGCTGTTACTTGTAAAATATCTGAAGCTAGTTTCTGAAGCACATTCTGCATGCAGTAGCTGTGAGGAGACCTGTTTTCCAGGGCAGTAAGGAATACTGTTGGTTTAAAGTAGTTACTTGGTTTTATACCGAGACAATAGTTACCATAAATATACAAAATATATAAAATAAAAGGCCTGAATACTATTTTCACTACTTACGTGGTTAGTTTCCATTTACTACATTTCTGTTGCTCGCTTTCTACTTGTCTGTCAATTGCTTTTTCAAGTAAACTGCATGAAATCAATTTATAATCTATAAATTGAAAGCTTTGGACACAATCATTAAGCATAATGATCAAGCACATTTAGTAGTAGAAATAATCTGTATGACTTAGTTTAGCATAGTAATGAGCAGCAGAAAAACCAAAAAAATCATGCCAAGCTCAAACTAAACGTGGTCTATTCCTAGGGCTACATGATCAGATCCTAACCCAACATCAGATTAATTTTGGATACACTGTTCTTAGTTAAATGCAAGATGACCTTCTCTGGTACAAATTACACACGCAAGTGTGGTCTGTGTTCATATAAATTCAGTATAAATTTCTTGCCTCTATCCTGCACTTGCATTACTTTACAGTGCAGCTTAAAAAGTTTGCAAGTGAATGAGTAATACAAGTTAGATGCTGCATGCTGGGTACCTCAGTTCATGATCTATTATCATAGTATAGTTTAAAGTATCTTACTGAAAGACATCTAAAATACTGTATTCACGTACCAGAACTGAGTGGATACTCTTGACAGCAATTTAGTTCTATCTGGTAATTTAGGACAGGTAAACAGTAATTCATGCTGCAGGAATAATTTGGGAAAAGCGTAGTTCTCCAGATTTTGGCCAAGAGGTTAAATTTATAAATATTTATTCTTGTGAAAAAAATCATGGGCTCAAAGTAATTCTGACTCTTCATTCTCTCTTGAAAAGACAGGCTTTCCAGAAATTGCTGGGCCACAGAGATGAACATTTAATTTGGAATGACAGACACTATCTATATTTTCTCTTCACATAAAAGTGATCACAAGTAATTCTCTTCAGCATGTCAGTGGGTTAATGTAAATCTCAGGTTTATCTTGTATTTAGATAAATTTGAAATGTGCCATCAGAATGTGGACAGTAGCACCCTGCTAACCTTTTCCCGTCAGCTCTGGAAGGGATGAGTCTCGTGATATTTGGAGATGGTATCAGTGCCTACAAACTTACAGCGTGATTGGTACCTCATCTCCCATAAGAAAGTGCTCCACTTGGAGACTGTCCTCTCCATCTTCCCCACACATATGTCTTTTTCAAGGAGTATTGAAAAATGAGAGCAGCAGGGTCATCAAGGATCTCAGAGTCAGGATATCATAGTTACTTATCTCACTTGTGAGACATTGGAAAAAAGGAAAAATCAACCAAGGAAATTTTACACCTGGCTAAAAAGAAAATACAGTTTCTTTTCCAGGAGTGACCTAAATTTTTTATTACCTTTTTTAAGCATCTCTGGATGTGATCACATACAGATCTGTATGTGATCTGGAAATGTCTGGCTCTGATAGTGTCAACACACTTATCTTATCCAGAACCAATATACACAGAAAAGCAGGGGGATAAAATAAAATAAAAATAAAAAAGTCATAAAATGACTTGTGCTGTACCACTCAATTAGCATTCACTCTTAGAGTGCCGCTTTCAATTTAAAACCTTTACTATTTAATTTTTTTCAATTTATTTTTACTATTTAATTTTATTTTCACTATTTTAATTTTTTTCACTCTTTAAAAATCATTATTTTCATTATTTTCTCTATTTTAATTTTTTTTTCACTCTTTAAAAATCATTATTTTCATTATTTTTATTTTTTTGTTAAAATTTTCATTATTTTCATTATCTGTTCCTTGGTCTGGGATCCCCTCAATGTTTACTACTGCATGCACTGAGCACCAAATCTGGCAGAACTTCCAAGGCAGAGTGGTGTGGTACAGCTGATGACGGTGAGTGTGAATTCATTGGAGAATATCTGCAAAACATTATCACCTTTTCCTAGAGTCAGAAACATACACCTGTTCAGACCTTTCTCAGCTACATGATCTTGACATTGTACCTGAAGTTATCTCAACTGCTGTGAATTTGCTTCAGATTCACCTTCTCATTTCATGCTAAGCGAACACTCTGCTCCCTGCACTCACCGCTTGCCGGGAATTTCCCTCTGCTGTACTTGTCAGAGGCACTGCAGTGCATTTCTCCCTCCCTGCAGTGAGGTGTGTGGGTTTGAAATTGCAGTGTGGATAGATAGCTCTGTGAGTTTTCCTCTCTGCCAATGGTTTCACATTAAAAGGACGGGGCTAACACAGTCAAATACCAAAATATGAACAGCCGGCAGTCAAAGGAGAATGAACCAACAACCACACAAAACACACAGAAGGCAAAAACCTTCTTTCAGTCCAGCAGTTACCACCTATAGCCTCTGGATATGTTCTGTGACCAGTGCCACAGATAGTTTTCTCATTTCATCTGGGAGCCAACTTTTTTCAGTGGAAGCAGTATATTGAATGTAAATAAAGAACTTGAAATAAACCCTGCGGTTAAAATTTTCCAGAATTAACACTCCAAATGGTGTGTAGTCTCAAAAAAAGGAGAAGTAAAAATAATGAGAAATAATCTAGACACTAGGTGATCACTCAGTTTAAAGCTAAGTGTTAATCAGCACTGTTCTTAGTCTCTGGGGATGGGGGAGGGAGTGTACTAAGAAAGTACATATTTCCTTCAGGATTATATTTAAATTTAGAAAAAAATGTGATCATAAAATGTACATGCTAGGGTTTAATTTTAGGCCAGAGTCATATATTAAAAAAGATTTCTACCCTAGATTCTAAAACATTAGCCTGAGCCATGTAGCACAACCTCATTTTGATCATTTGAAGTTTAGAAAATGTACAATTACTGATACTGGCAAGAAGTCACACCAAGGGCAAATGAGATTAGCAAGAAATAAAACTGCATGTCAGTAGCAAAATAGAAACTGAAATGAATAATCAGATTGGCAGATCATTCATGCAGCCTAGCAGCAAAGTCCAAATAAACTGTCTCAAAATCCAGAAAAACCTCGATAGTAAGCACTTAAATCATCAATTTGAAAAAGTTTTCAGCAGAGAATGTTGCAATAAGTTTCATAATACTTCAAATATAAAGCAATTTCATAGCTTTCATTGCTGACCTTAGCACAGTAATAAATCTGCAAAAACCACAAAGTAGGAAAAAATTTATTTGAAACCATTTGACATATGTATTAATAGGGAGGATTCATTCCCCATTCATTTTCTGTACTGCTCAAATTTCAGAGACTTTGTCAGCATCTCTCCTGGTGGAAGCAGGGCAGAATTCTAGGATGTGAAGGTGAATAGCTGCAGCAACACTCTCATGTTTGTGGGTGTTGGGTTACAATTCCTATAGACAGTAGCACGTATACAGGAAATGTAATAATGAACAACCTCTGGCACTGAAAACATCAATTAGTGCAGCACTGTATGATTCACAGATGATGATTTCCAGCTTATTTGACAGAATAGTTTATGATAACTTTCAGGGTAACTTTTGGTGTAACCAGTAAAATACTCTTAATACACTTACATACACCAGTACCCATGTTCAATCAAAAACATTTAAAGAAAAGAAACATTTTCATTTTTCTGTAAAGGCTTTCCTTTATTCCTCCCCAGTGTTCTCCAAAGAAGGGTGCATTTCAAGCACACATACAGAATATTTACACGTGTACCAAGAATTCAGTGAAAGGAAGGGAGATAATGTGCAACACCTACTTAATTGATCAAAGCCTATGTCCTGAAAATTCCTCTTCTATTTCCATCAGTGGCAGAGCGACTGCATATTAGCATGAGTGTTAGTCCACCAGCACAAATAGAAGTAAACACTCAGCAATAGTTGTCCTGGATGGAAGTGAGGCTTAAGCCCATTTTAAGCACAATATCAAAGTTTAAGGAAGATCATAGGCTAGGCAAAAGAGATATGGTCTCTCTAAACCTTGCTCCTGCTACCTAACATATCAATACATTTTAGACACTCTGCATTCATTTCTATACTTCATAAAAGTCCTACTGACTTAGGGCATTATGTTGGAAATAACATAGATAGAAATGATTCACATTTCAATTTCAATTATTTCAATTCTTGGGGTTAAGACAGAAGGAGAAACTTTAAGCTGTTTTCAAACTACTAAAATACTTTTCACTTTTTGCTGTGCCTAAGCTGATAGGTAAAGGAAGGCAGGGATCTAGTTAGGTCTCTGGAAAGAGTACCATAGTGAAGTATGTAGCTAGAAGAAAATCTAGGTGCAGAAATATGCATTGCACTCAGTAGAATTTAGGCCATTCAAACCCAGCACTTGTTTTTTTGTATTGCACAGCACACTGGATGAAATTCTGTGGATAACGTTGAAAAAGATGATTGTAATGGCCTGTTTTGGCCTTTAATCCCTGTGCCTGATTTTTCTTTAGGCTACACTTTTGCACTGCTCTGGCCTATATTTAGGCATGCTTCAAAGCATTTTTCTACTGCTACAACAGAGTGAAGGAATTTCAGAGTAAACAAACCATACCCCCAGATTCTCTATAGCTTCAACATGAGAGTTTTTATAAGGAAGATCTCTTACTTCTTTTTCCATTTGAAGTCCTTCTGCTCTGATATTTCTTTCAAATACTTCCCTCTTCTCTGTCTGTGGATTGGATTTTCTATACACAAGGATGTAGTCAATCCGACATTTCCCATCTCTAAAATATAGTCCGTTGGTTTTGTTCTTATCAGGTACTTCCTGTAAAGAGAAAATCAAGCAATTCAGTAATGTTAATTTGCCTTGATAATTGCTGCATTGCTGTTTGCATCATCAGTTTTCCGTAATACTCAACAGGAAAAATAAGGAATCACAACAAGATGTTCAAGTTTTAGGCTCTTCACATACAGTGCTTCCGACTTCATCTGAGAGGAGCGCAGACTTCCCTACTTAAGGGGATCTTAAGGAGCATCAGGAGGTCTTAGGAAAATGCTTGGATATATGGGGATGGGATAAGAGAGAACAGAAAACACAAGCAAACCTCTCTCTCCTACCACCCTTCATAAGGTTAGGAAAAATTTCTTAATTATAAAATAGAGCAGAGAGTAGTGTTACTGAAATGTAAATTTAGAATTAGTAACTTAATACAGCTGAATGTCTTTGTACATGTGAAAAGGAAACATTATCATTAAGATTTACTGTAGGGAGAAACACTAAAACCAGAGATTTTCATTACTTTGCCCCATAGGACAAAGACAACAATATGAAGGTTCTGTACTGACCTTGCCATACCTCATCAAACTAACTACAGACTATCCCTCACTTAAGGAATAGCTGAGGATGGATTTATTTGGATTTATTTGGAGATAATTCCTGGTGTTAGGCGTAGCAGTACATAAAAACAATAAAAGCAATAAATACTGTCTCTTTTCTTAAAAACTACTTCTACTATACAAGTCCTGCCCAGGGTTTAAACTTTCACTTTCAGACAAGCTGGAAATGCATGGCAGTTTGCAATGGTTGGAGTGTTTCTTACAGGAAATGTACATTGTGAAGGATGTGTGGGAGCAAACAGCACTCCCTCTGAGCAGAATAAAGGGCAAGGACCTTCAGGAACCTCAAGATCAGTCCAGCTCTAAGCTGAAGGGAAGAATAAGCTAATTTACTTCTGCCTTTCCAAAACTTACTCTGCTATTCTTGCCAAAAATAGCCCTGCCCTGTAATATGCAATCAAGTCTCTGAAAAAAAAACAATAAACCCACAAAAAAAATATAATATTTTGCCTTTCATATCTGGGGGAAGCAGGGAATTTTCAAAATACTTTCTCCATGAGAGAATTGCTTCTGAATTTAAATCACGAAGTGAAGATTAGCATAGTAAAAAATAGTTTTACAGGAAAGCCTCCTCAAAACAATTTTCTCCATTCAAAGAGGTATCTTTCTGATTCTCATCAGGCATTTTGATTAAAAGGAAAAACCAATGAAAGCATCCAAAATGTCCCATCCCCTTGGTACATTCAGCTCACTAAAGGAAGAAGGGAATTTTCTATCATTCTTTCATTACAGTGCCTAACTCCTGACACAACTTAGGGCAGACTTGATAGAGTGGAACAGTTCTTAGAGTCCAAAAAGAAGGCAGGAAAAAAGATTTAATCTCTAAGGAAAAAACAGTTGCAAACTATTTATATCTATACTGCATATCATGCTGATAAATGATATTATCAAGACATGAGAAGTATTTTTCATAGAACATTAAATGTGAAAACAGCTCAGGAGGCACATTTTATCTTTTTCCATTAAAATCTTTGTTGAGAAGACATAAAAAAAGCCCCAACAGCCCAAAGGGTATTTAAGGTTATTTAAATAAAGGAGGGGTGTAGCAGGAGATCTAGAAGCTGTGGGTCAGCTTGGTGGTCCTGTTGTGATTTCTAATCCTCCTGACAAGCCTCCTGTTCAGTAGTCAGGGTCAACATGTATTTTTGGCGTAATAGGAAAGGAACTGTAGGGTAAAACAGCCCATGCTGAGGACCTGCTGTGTGCGCTATATAGGCTTAAGGGCTCACTTTGGGCCCAGTGTAGTCTGGTCCAAAAGACTCACAGGACTTACATCCATAAGGAATACAAGTTTAAAATCCAACACTGCTCTGGACTGCAAAGAAATCATGGGTAGAGGTAATTGAGAGACCCACTTCAAATGTACACTCCTCATCTGAACTCAGACCCATCCTGAGAGTACCATGAGGAATGTGTCCTTCTCTGCAGGCAGTAGTGACTCCACTGGAAAAATTGATTTTCTCCTTCCTTTGTTTCTTCTTTCTCTGAAGAAAATTGGTTTGCCCTGTACTGACTCATCAGTGAATGCAGAACCTTATATTAAAGAGTATCTATGACATTTAGCCAAAGTATTTGACTTGTCAGACTTCCTCCACTACAAATATGACTGCCTGGGACAATTACTTCTCTTGAATTTGAGAAAAACTACCAAATACAATATTTTAGTTTTTCACTCAGAAAGGTAGCTTGGACACCCTTATTTGTACTTTCCATTTTAGGAACACTGCATGTCAAATCCAGACTGATAAACCCTATTAGACTGCTATGGCCTCTGGGAAGGAACCCTTTCTCTGGCCCTCTGTCACAGACTCTAAGGCAGCTTTACAGATTGAGTCTAGACTTGCAAGAACTCTTGAGGATCTAACATGATACAGAGACAGTCAGGACTGGTTCAGCAGTGTCAGCTGCAGGACTCCTGCATCATCCAAGTATTACAGGCTTATGCTGACAGAAGTTTGGCCTACCTTCCTCCAGGTATTTCATCTCCCTTACCTGTGTTACAACATCAAAATATCAGTTTTCCTAAACTGATGAAGAAAAAATATGTAGCACTAGGTCTAACTGCTGTTTTTTGGTGAAAAAGTGGTGTAGCCACATATGTCAAACTTCCATTCTTTCATCTAAAAAAAGGATGCTGGAAGAAAGTAGAACAGTGAAGACTTCACTCTAACAGGAAGCTTATCATTTCAGTCTAGCTTTATGACTGTATTGTAATATGTGTTATATAATTTGGACTAGTTTTCCAAGGAATACTGTAGTTTTTATATTCTCAGGTGCTCAGCTGGGAGCCATCAGCATTCAGACATGACTCATATACATGCATATGTTAGGAGAGCTTTAGGCTAAAGGGCTTACCCACACATATCCATATAAACCATACAACATCTGAACGGTGTATCTTCTCCTCCTAGAGTTTAGCAGGGACCAAGTACTTTGAAACTTTTTTTGGTTGACTGCAGAATCCCTGAAGTCCTATTAAGACTTTCAGTTTTCATCCATCTTTTACCTACATGTTACTTACATTGCTTTTTCCTCAGCTATGGTTACAAAATGACCCCTTAAATCTGTTCATATCCCTCAAAAGTTTTCCCTTTCCATTTAAAAAAACAAAAAAGAACACATCTAAGAGAAAGAAATGTTTTGAGGTATTGTTTTTTCAATATTATTACATTAACAGCAGCATGTCCTTTTGATCATTTTCTGTTATTTTTTTCCTCTTTAACTTACAAAAATCATGTGCCTTTCACCTGCTCCTTTTTGCTAAAGACCATGTCCCAAAATGCAACATGGGAATATCACGTTAGATTAACCTATTATGGTGCAAGCAGCCAAAGAGTCCTTTGTATGTTGTATGGGAAGCTAGGGAAGAGCTACGATTAAGGAAGATGAAACTGTGAGCAAGGTCAAACATATTCAGGGTGCCCTGAATTTTGTTGCTTTAATTATCTGTCTAAACATTCGATGAGTGAAGCTCTCTATGGGCTGAATTTCTAGAACAAAGAAAATGTCTGGCTCTCCCCTCAGCAGTGTTGCACATAGATCTTGCACCACAAAACCCTCTAGCTCCTGAAAAAGATAATTTCTAATTGCCTCTTCTAAACTCTATCAAAACTAGTGAATAAAAGAGGGTCAGGGTAGGGCCCTCAGCAATGTCCTGTGGTTTTCCACTCTTTTTAATTACTAGCATAATCCTTGCCAGTTCTGGTCTGTTCCAGTCAGCCCTCTGCCAAAAGCACCTGAGGCACAACTTGCAGGTAAAATCAGACCAGTCCAGTAAGAAGTCTAGATGTAGCCCCATTCCTGAGGTGGAGGAAAGGAGAGAAGTCTCTTCACTCACTGAGGAAACAACCCTAATGTCCATGGGTGGCAGGACAGTGGGAGGTAAAGGTCATAATTTTCCTTTCTTCGCAAAAGACACAGGAAGAAATTAAGGTCCAGATTTTCATCATGGGTCCATGAGCCTGCTTTAAGACAGATTTTAAAAGGGACCATGTGCAGAATGTTCCCTCCCTGGTATGTTCTCTGAATCACCATTATGCACCATCATTCTTCATTGGAAAGGAATGGATCTCATAACTGACACCCATGTTTCTCATGGGACTTGTAGATAAATCCCCTCCACACTCTTTCCCCTTAAAGGATGAATATAGGGAAAAAATTTCCAGCATTTTCAGAAGCATTGAAGCCTTAGATTTGTATAGCTGTTTCACTGAGGGTGCATCAAATCAAAACTTTTGAATTTGAGATATTTTATATTTCAGCATCATAATCTTAGAATGGAAAAACAGTTCTCATGGGAAAAATTAGACACAATTTGATGGTAGAGAATGAGATTGTAAATCAAATTACATTTATTACATCTTTATAATGGACATGAATAAATATAGTATTAATAATTCTGCGTATCCTTACCTCTCCCACAACTTCCAGCCTGCTGGCATCATCAGAAGTACTGGTCAAGTTACCATGGTGAAGCAGGGAATCATCATCTTTGGAAGGGCTGTTTACACCTTCTAACTCATCAAAAAAAATGTTGACATCCTTAGCTACTAAAAAACAAAAATAAAAATATACATTCAAATCACCACTGAACCAAATGAATACAGCAAGTATAACCCAGTATAACCCATTAATAATTTCACTTTTTAGTTCTGTTGTAAGTATATACCATGTTAGTTTTAAAATCTGATAAGCATTGTTGGAATGCTTTCTTCATCAATGAGCCACATAAAGATTTAGGACACCACAATACCTCTCTCATGAAAAAGAAACAATCTGCTGTCGCAATAAAACAGGTATGAGCTACCTTCACAGCTTTTTTGGGGACAAATGGTTTAAATGACTACCTTCTGGATTAGTATTGTCTCTGAAAGTTTCTTATAAGGAGGCAGAATTTTAACTTACTATACAAAGTTTGAAGTTCAAAGTTGTACAGATCTATGGGGTAGCCAGAGGCAGAAGGTCTTAAATAAAAGCTGTTTCTTGAAAGGCATTGAGTAAATGAACCTGGGCAGATACTTCTCTTTTCACAGTTTGGCATGTTTTGATGCATATAAATCTGACACTTTCAGATCCACCTACCACACAGCCCTCAGTCTTGCATGAAGCAATTGCTTACATCTACAGATTTAAGCTGTGGTAAACCAACCCTGAAAAAAAGTATAGATATTAAGGTCTGGAGTGACTGCCTGATGGGAGGAGCAGGGCAGGTGGGTTCACTCTGCACTCCATGTGCTACAGGTCTGGTGAAAAACATGATGAAGAGATGTGTTCCAGGAGAAGAAAAATGCCTCAGCTGAGGATCACGCTTCAGCTGTGAATGGACTTCAGCTCTCTAATCTCGTGCCTCACAGGCAAAATCCAAAATTATGAAAGTAGAGTTATAGGCTGTTAGAAGGGACCCCCAAAGGTCCCAGCTTCTGAGCCTCTTCCACTGACTACAGTGGGAGCAAATATCTAACAGTCTTGACAGAAATTAGTCTAACCCTGTTCATAATAAAAATAATAATAATCCCTATTCACATTTCTTGCAAGCTTGACTGACTTTTGGAATAATTCTTTTATTGTGCAATAAACTGTAGTTGTTTTTGCTTGTCCTCAGCTCCCCTAATTTAGTGACAGGCAATTGTAATTCCTGATGGTGAGAATCTATATTAACAGCCAAAAATCTCTAATTGCTGCTGGCAACTTAGTTCCATTTCTATCTACTGGCTGCAGGTGTAAAAATCCATTCCCCCACTGTGGAGAGACTGGATAGATGCCAGAAATTAACAGCCACTAACTGTTCCCAGCCATCATGAGCATTTTGTGACCTCCTTTTCACCTTTCCCTTCTTCAGGGGTCATAGCCCAGTTTCAGAATCCTTTCAAAAAATTGCTGATGATACCAACTCCCCAGTCTCTGCAGGTGGCCTATTTTTCATGCTTACAAGCAGGAGAGTCTTATCCATAATATTCATCCTTAAAACAGACATATGTTGCAATTTAAATATACTACTCTTTCCTTGTCAATCATGAGCATGGAGAAAATTTTCCTCCCTTTTTGTGTGTGTCTGAAATCTATTTTTACATCTGTAGATAATAAAAAAAGAAAACACAATCAAAATATTCAAGAATCCTTCATCTTCACTTTCATGCATAAAATAAGGACAAGGTTAATGAAAGACATTGTATTTTTAATTACAAGAGTTTTGTTTGGAAAACAACTACAAGTTTCAGAGACAACAGAGAAGTCCTCATGTCCGAAATAATCCACTCTAAATACTAGGTTAATGTGCTAACCTAACCTAAGCAGCATAGTTTGTAAGAGAGATTCTGAGTTTCTGGTGTTGTTTAGTTATATGTGAAGAGAGCATGCAGCTCCTCAGTGTCACTGTGGCTGCCTCCAACTTGTCCTGGGGGAAACCACAGAGGCTTTAGGAGTCTTAAAAGGCAATAAACAGATTTGTTTATTATAATACAATTTGCAGCAGTAATATTACAGATTTTTTTCCCCACCTTCATTCATTTCAATCAACAAAAATCATACTAGAGATGCTCATAAAAGAAAAGAGAATTGACACAACAAAGCACAGCACAGCCTAACCTTGTGTCCTTCACTGTCCCTGCTCTTTCAAAAGTCAAGACTAGAAACATTCTAACCCATCAGATAATAATTTGGATGTAGATCATGACCAGATATTGCACACATGTTCGTATGAGAATTCATCTCAATATTCAGTAGAAAGAACAACTGAAAGAGAAAACATTTTGAATGACTTGAACTTCACTGAATTGAAACCCATCAGTGCCTCCATGACAATGACACATGAATCTTTATATGATTAAAACTTCAACATAATCTGAAAACAACTGTGGAAAAAATCCCAAAAATAATTAAATACTGAAGCCTTCTGAAGATTATTCAAGATACATATATCTGTTGCAGACAACATCAGTGAAAATTGTAAAATGGAAGTTTTGCCTGTTTGTTATACTTGAGGGAATTTAAACTAACTTTGTTTTGACATTAAGACTGCCTTAGTATAAAAGATGAGGCTTCTGAGATACTAGAATTTCTGCCTCTTGAAGTGCTGGTAATGCTTTGGGTTGCAAAATACATAGTTTTTAAGCAGATGTTTTGAGATACAGAACTGTGTGCATAAGACAATGAATGTGTCTGGAGGCTTGAAACACAGAATTACTGAATGTTCCTGAAGAAGCCAAAAAAAATCTTATTTTAAGGTCATTTTAAAATACAGTCCATCTCAGCAGTGAAGATGTTGTGGAAGCAACTCTCAGCTGCTTAGTGAAATTAGCTACCAGGACTCCTCCAAATTGCCTGCAGTGGAAAATTGTTTATATCAGAAATACACAGATAACTGGCATGTCACTTGGTCACTACAGAAAATATGGGCCCCCAACATTTGCTGAAATAACTTTTCTACCCCAAGACTCATTATATATTTAAAAAAAAATTAATAAAATACTGTTCTACAAAACCAAATGGATAATTTATATAGCAATTCCTGTTTGCTTTACATCAGTAATGGTGATGGTACTTCTGAGATAACTCTCCTGCTGCCTGTAGGTAGCTCAGCCCTTCCACTCCAATGGGCTGAACACCTACATGGCCAAATGCTGCTGAAAAGGATAATCAGGGCTCCACCTTTCTTGTTCCCTTCAGACCCTGATGTGTGTATACCCACAAATGTCCTTAACAGAATGATGTGTAATGGCTTTATTATATATATAAATACCATTTGGGAGACAGGCTGGTGCTACTGCACAGTCATGTATTTTTAAGCAGTGAAATTTAACAAGAATACAGAGCAGCAAATGCACTGCTACAGGAGATATTAAGAATTCTCCCTCTGGTTTTAGACCAGCATAAATATGCAATCTCTTTTCTCCCCCTCCTGTTCTATTTTGTAGGAAAAAAATCAAAATGAATTTATAATTCAGAATCCCTTGAAGAATGAAAGGAAAAAAAGTGGGTATAAAAATATTTTTATCCCAAATATAGTAGAACTACATATTCTAAAAACTGGACGCTGATAAATTCTGAGCAGGAATCCATGCACAATCTCAGTGGGTCAAGTCACTTCAGATCAAGATGCTGATATAAGGTAGGACTCAAAAACAAGATAACTCCTTTAACATTCTGAAGGAGGATGCCGAAACTGAAGTGCCTAAAAATAATTTCATTAAAAAATGGGACCTATGTTATTTTGTGAGAAGATGGAAACATGCTCAGAGATCACGTTTCTGTTGTTATTTTACTAACAAAAGTCCCACCAAGCCATCAAGTATACTCTCATTTTGGATAATGCTAGCTGAAGGTCAATATTCCAAAGCTTATCTTAGCAAGAAAAATAATTTGGTTTCTAGAAGCACCATTAGCCTGTTTTTAAATTATCATTCAAGGCTAAAGCAAAAGGGAATAAAAGGAACATTTACTGTTCAGAGCAACTACCCTAGAAAGAATATTTAGACATGTTTCTCCCAATTAGATGATGTTTGCAACAGACTGCAGGTGACAACACCCTCCTGGACACACAATGAGCCACTGCAAAGTGGGTTCTACAGAATTCCTTTTGTCTTTGAGGAAGGAGATGTAGCTAAAGGACATGGACTTCCCAACAACACCTGTGTCTGGGCTGGATAAAGGAAAAACACTCCTTTCCTTTTCCTAAATGAAAAACCCCTCCAAGGCTGTAAAAACTGCATCCTTCTCAAATGGCTTGTGACTAATCCATAAATCAAAATGTTAATTCTTGAAACAGCGCAGATTAAATTGCTTATCCATGTTTAGCTATCTTGTCTATTCACCTCTGGAAGACCCTACAGTGCCTTTTCAGCCTCTCCAGTCTGCATCCCAATTGCTCCTAGGTCTATATCTGGGCTGTGCTGGTGTGGAGAAGGGAGAAGACAAAACCTCACATTAAGATTTCCTGATGGAAAAAGCTTTTTAGATCAGAAAACATGGAATTCATCCTAAACCTGTAGCTTAAGTAATAAGGTAATTCAATTTCAAATTATTAATTCTCAAATTATTACCCCCATCATCATACTAACCTAAGCATTTTCCTTCCACCCCCAACTAATACCACCACTAAACAGCCTGATTCTGTGTAGTTCCTTATTCAAGTGGCAAAAAACAGGCAGAGACTGGGTTTTTTTCTCATTCATCCTTTATCACTCTAAAATGCAAGCTGCTGTTTCTCACTCTAGAAAATTGTTATGCCAAACACCCAGTTTAAAATCAAACTGGAAAATAAGGAAGCCAGGAAGCCATGCCTTGCATTTTGATTCTCACCCTGCATAAGAATTTCAAACTACTATGAATAATTCTCACTGAAATTCCAGATTCTATTGGATTCCAGAATTGCATCAGTTTTGGGTAGGGGGCATGACTTCCACTGTTATTAACAAGAGTAGCACTACTTCCAGCACAAGTGTTGAGAGCATTCTGCAGTTGGATTTAAAAAGGGTAAAAAAATTAATTCTTAGTCCACAGTCCATTACATATAAAACCAGAAAATTTTGCGCAGTATCTAAGACACGTGGAC